AAACACACCGAAATGGGCAAAATAATGACTAATGACATATACCAATGATGAAAAGTTACCAAAACAGTTTTTTGAAGAACCCATAAAAGAGAAATACTAAAGTTATTAAGAAAAAAAATAAAGACAAAATGAAAAATACACTAAAATAGGTGAAGTAACAACTTATAACACTAGCAACGTATACCAATGATGAAAAGTTACCAAAACAGTTTTTTGAAGAACTTACAAAAGAGAAATACGAAAGTTATTAAGAAAAAAAATAAACTTAAAACAAAACAAAAACTCACTGAAATAGGCGAAATAATAACTTACAACACTAGCGACATACACAATGACAAAAAGTTATCGAAACAGTTTCTTGAAGAACCCACAAAAGAGAAATGCGAAAGTTATTAAGAAAAAAAAATAAACTAATGACAAAACGAAAAATGCACTAAAATGGATAAAGTAATAACTTATGACATCAGCAACATATACCAATGACAAAAAGTTACCAAAACAGTTTTTTGAAGAACCCATAAAAGAGAAATACAAAAGTTATTAAGAAAAAAATAAACTTAAAACAAAATAAAAAATGTACCAAAATAGGCAAAGTAATAACTTACAACACCAGTGACATACACCAATGATGAAAAGTTACTGAAACAGTTTCTTGAAGAACCCACAAAAAAGAAATACGAAAGTTATTAAGAAAAAAAATAAACATAAAACAAAATAAAAAACTTATCAAAATAGGCAAAGTAACAACTTACGACACTAGCAACGTACACCAATGATGAAAAGTTACTGAAACAGTTTCTTGAAGAACTCACAAAAAAGAAATATGAAAGTTATTAAGAAAAAAATAAACTTAAAACAAAATGAAAAATATACCAAAATGGGCAAAGTAACAACTAACGATATCAGCAACATATACCAACAATAAAAAGTTAAAAAAAGCATAAAAAAAGAAAGAGAAAAATGCAAAAAAAAAATTTGCCAAAAAAATTATTTATATGCAGATCTGATCTTGTATAACCTATAGTGATTATTACTATAAGTCTCATTATTATTTTCATAAATGAGTTACCATTTCGATGAACAAATAAATGAGACACAACCCACCTTTTTTCTTCAAAAATTTACTGATAAAGGTCACTCAAATATTACTTTTGTATTTTTTATATAAAGAATAATGAATTCTCAACAAAATTTAATCTGATCTAAAAAAATAGATAATTTATTTTTAATGCTTGAGGCTTTTACAGCAAATAATCAATATCTTTTTTAAAATTTTGTAAAATATACTACATGTAGTATATTTTTAGTATAAAATAATAAATTAAAATAAATAAATATATAAAATTAAATAATATAGCTATATTTGATAAATATTATATATTATTAATCAATTTAATCAAATCATTATTACAAGCTACTAATACTTCAATTCAAATGTATCTTTTGTTAAGTGAAATAAAAGAGTCTTTATAAATAAAAATAATTTACTAAATTCATGGTTTGTTCTTTTAAAACTACTATAATACTGTAATCAGTATAATTCTCTAAGCCGATCTAATTATACAAATATTCATACATACTTCAAACAAGTTTTTTACAGGTCATAATAACCTATGTACCAGTACATACGTATTTTTAATACAATACACAATTATTCTACTTTAACAAACCAAGCATCACTTATAAAAAAATATAGCTAACATTACTTGTAAATATAATACATATTGTTGGTTAGTTAGCTAGAGCTAAGAGAACTGAGGTGGAAGCCTTCAAGCCATACTCTACAAATTTTTGGAAATGTCCAGCTCCTGCTTTAAATAATCCTGATTTAGGTTCAAAATCTAAAAATTAAACCTAAATCAGGTTCAATTTAGAATATTAAAACATTAATTTAAAATGTAGCTACTTATTTTAAAATCATTATATTAAAACTAACAGAAATTTTTTTAGCAAATATATTGAATAAGAACATTAAATAAAATTAAATAAAATTAAATTTTGCAGCGAATTTTTAAAATACATAGAGTAAAAAAGAAGGTTTATACAAATGTATAAATCAAATAAATATGTATTTTTGATTGCAAGCATATTAAATAAAATTAACTATTTGGTATGAGGTGAAGAAAATTTAAAATAAATAAGAAACTAAATATTGGCCTATTAAAGTAGAAGTAATCGGTAAGAGTCGAAATTGTAATAATGTTTCTGGAATCAGGTATATTAATAAATAATGATGGATGGGATGATTAATTGAGTGATTAATTAAAAAATTATATAATAACATCAAGAAAATATATGTAAGTTTATAGGAAATGATATAAATAATGTAATTCAAAAGTAAAAATCAAAAAAAAATAAATTAATTAGTTTTTGTTCTGATTAATAAATCAATTTACATACTCTTATATATAGTATAAAGAACTTATCTTTGATATTGCATGGCTACAGAATTGGATTTACAATAAACAGTACCAATCGATGCACGTTCTCTACTAATTATTCTATTGCATCATTGATTTCACTAAGCATATATAAAACTTTTTTGTTGAAAAAATCATGTATATAAAGCAGATTTTATACATTATAAAAAGTAAACAAAATAGTATATCCTATATTTATAAGATATATTAATTATAAATTTATTTTTCAAACTGCTTAATTTTATAGTGGATAATCATATTGTATATTTCGAAGAAATTTATTATAATGCCCAAGAAAAATCAACATACTTCTAAGAAAATGCTAGCAAGTCAAAAGAAACCTAAAGCTTCTAGCATAAAAAAGTGGTTTCAACTAAAAGTAGTAAGACTAATAGTAATTTGAACAAGAATATCGAAAGCTGTGATTCTGGATATATTAATAATGAAGACTTTGATTCTTTTAATAAATTATCTTCAAACAACAATATTGAGAACTCTCAATTACAGCATACTCGCTTTCATTCTAGGTCATGACACTCTTATTCTCAATCACTAAGGCATTTTTGACATTTTTGTTCTTAATCACCAAGACATTCTCAATATTCTCATTCTCAATCACCAAGATATTCTTAACATTTTCATTCTCAATCACCAAGACATTCTCAACATTCTCATTCACAATCACCAAAATATTCTTGAATTTCTCCTTCATGATTACCAAGATGTTCTCAAATTTCTCATTCATGATCACCAAGATGTTCTCAAATTTCTCATTTACGATTACCTAGATGCTCTCATTCATATCATTCTCATTTTCAATCATCAAAGTGCACTTATCTTCAGCATTTTCATGCATAGCGCTCTCATTCTTAATCACAAGTATTTCAATATCAATGTTTACAACCTCAATCAAATAACTATAGCACTCTTTTATTCAATACTGATTTGAAGTAGCAGCATATGTTGCTGAATGATCTAAGCTTCTAAAAATTGTAAATCAGATAGTACAGTATAATTGCTTTAGAAAGTCAGACAATAAAGAAAGAACTGATATCTTTACTTAACAAGTATAATGTTTTTTTTATTATAGCATAATTTATTTAATTTATTAATTTTTACAAATTATTTTAGGAATCAACAATATTTCAAGTATTTTTAAAATGCTTATTTTTTCAAGCATGACAACAATAATTCTTAGATGCATTAAATTATATTATCCTTCCAAAAAATTTTCACATAAAGATATTTCAGTCTTGAAAGGTACTGCCAATGCGGCTTATTGAAGCTACAAAGATGCACTTTGAAATGACATCAGAAAAGTCACAAAACATTTCATTGAGGATTTTAAGTAAGTAA